GGGGATGGAGTGGGGATGTGCAGGCATTCCTTGATATTGCAGTGTTCAACTAGAGCATCTGCATCTATACAGGTGAAGTTTTATTTCATTTCATTTCTCCTAATGTGACTTAAAATTTATTTCCTCCAACCACGCTACAGAACTGAAGAACAAGAACTCAGGGAATCTGCATTTCAGGAGCATATAAAAATGTTATTTGTGAATGAGGAAAGCAAAGAAAGGCATTAAATCAGACCCCATAATTATCTCCAGTGTATCAGAACTGTCACAATCATTATCCTGAAAAAACCAAGGGGGTCTGCACTTCCATGATGATGACATCACAGCCTCAAACCACTCAGTACATTTATAATTTAGTCCAAAATCTCTCAATCTCAAGACTGACCACCTTTATACGTCTGTGTAGCCATGAAGGTGTGATTTGCTGTCCCTGGCAGTGCCCAAGGCCAGGTTGGACAGGGCTGGGCAYACCCTGGGGACACCCTGGAGGTGTCTCTGCCATGGCAGGGGTGGCACTGGATGGGTTTTCAGGTCCCTCCCAACCCAAACCAGTCCRGGATTCTCTGATGCCTCCAGAATRGAAGTGGCAAAACCAAACCCCCTCAAACCTGAGCTGATGGTGTGGCTGTGGTGCTGTGTAATCTTCAATAAAATGGGGARTATTTCCCTACAGCAGATTTCTATTCCCCATAGTTAACTAAAAGGATGTAAGAATCTGCTACCAAAATATTAACAGAGGCAAAATAAATCTACTGAATGAATAAGCATCCAAATTCCACAGAACCAAACACCAGAGATGATRCTGAGAGCTGTTTAACAATTCTCTRTAAACTCAGCAWGGCCTTTYCTCTCTCTTCCATCCAATTCCTCCAGCAACAAATGGGCACAGATTTTTTTTTCCTCTCATTTATTTTCTGTTTCATTCCACTCAGTTTGTACTGTGACAAATTAGACACCTCTATTTCCTCCTCCTCTGAGAGATAAGAACAGCACAGATTCAGCCTATTTGCAACCCACTCTCATGACACATTTTCTGCAACCAAACCACAGGGATTAGAGAAACAACCTTTCCCCCCGAGTAATTACTGAGAAGCTTTTCAAGAAAACTTTGTTCTTCTACAAATGCCATTTAAAGGACATTCTAGAAAAACCCTCGGAGCACTTCTCAGAGTGATTTTTGCTATTAGGCAATGCCTGTGACACGCACTGCAAAAGTAAATATAAATTTTATATCTCCAAGTCACCACCACGAGTCAGGAGTGTTGGAGCAATTCTTTTGCAAAAGGTTTGTTTTTGACAGGTATTTCTCCCATGAACTTTAGAAGAAGGAAAAAACCTTCTGTAAACTGTGTAAACTCCTATTCTGTATTGAAACTGTGGCAATACTATTTTTTTTTTTTTTGTTATTTCTGAAGTGAAAGATACTTTTAGAAATGTGGATTCGACTGTTCCACACAATGTCTCAAACCACTTTCATTCTGCATCGGTGTGAAACAGCAGCAGCACCGTTTGCTGTCACAGCACTGGGAAAATCATAATAATAATAACAAAAACCCTCCTAAAATCTCTGCCATTTCCCTTTCTGTGTGCTTGCAGCTCACCAGCTACTCAAAACAAAATCCTGTGGCCATTTCTGAATCAAAGTGTACTCAGATCAAAGCAGTTTATGAGAAATCACCGATGGTTCTGAGCTGCAATTCCACAAGGCATCATTTCTCTTGAAGATGCTGAACTGGATTTTCACCCAYCTGATGCAAGACAAGGTTGTTTTCTTAAGATTTACTGGGTCTGCCTTAGCTTGGAGTCCCCTAATTTCATTCTGCAGGTAGTGAACGAAATTCAGCAAAATTGAACATTTTTACAGAAGATATTAGATYTTTTGAATTCAGACTGACAGCAAGGGATTGTTAAAAAGGCTCATTTTTGCAGCAATGAAGAAATAAAAAGCCATAAGAAGCCACCCATTTCTGCCACAATAAATAATCACTGTTCTTATTTGTTATCCACTTGGTATCATATAAA